AGGAGTTAGAGGTTGCTGTGAGCTGTGATGCCACAACACTCTACCCAGGGGGACAGCTTGAGGCTCTGTCTCAAAAAAAAAAAAAAAAAAAAAAAGGAAGTATTTCTATTGCTTTTTTAATGATATTTGGAAATTCACCCTTGAGAGATAACCAAAAGGTTGTAATATGTGTTGAATATTTTCATTGCAGTCCTCTTATTTCTATTAACTCTTCCTCTTCTGCAATACTTAAATTTGCTGCTGTACATGCATTTAAACCAATTTTCTTTGTGGGGGGGGGAGGGAGAGTGTTACTATAGCACCCTTGGTAGAGTGCTGTAGCATCACAGCTCACAGCAACCTCAAACTCTTGAGCTTAAGTGATTATCTTCCCTCAGCCTCCCAAGTAGCTGGGACTACAGGTGCCTACCAAATCGCCCAGCTGTTTTTTTGTGGTAGTTGTAATCGTTGTTTAGCAGGCCAGGGCCAAGTTCAAACCCACCAGCCCCAGTGTGTGTGGCCAGCGTCCTAACCACTGAGCTACAGGCACTGTGCCTGGTTTCCAACTCTTAAGCTCAAACTATCCACCCACCTCAGCTTCCCAGAATGCTAGGATTACAGGTATGAGCCACTGCACCCAGCTGATACTACTTTTAATTCATAAACTTTTTTTTTTTTGAGAGAGTCTCACTTTGTGGCCCTTGGTGGAGTGCCCTGGCATCACAGCTCAACAGCAATCTCAAACTCTTGGGCTCAAGCAATCCTCTTCCCTCAGTTTTTCATTTTTTTAGTAGAGATGGGGGTCTCAATCTTGCTCGGAGTGGTCTCCAACTTGTGAACTCAACGGATCCACCCGCCTTGGCCTCCCAGAACGCTAGGATTACAGGCATGAACCACTGTGCCTGGCTAATTCATAAAACTTGATGGAACTCTGGCTGAACACAGTGGCTCACATCTATAATCCCAGCACTCTGGGAGGCCAAGATGGGTGGATCACTTCAGCTCATGAGTTCCAGACCAGCCTGCGCAAAAGCGAGACCCCACCTGTACTAGAAGTACAAAAACGGAGGCAAGAGGATTGTTTGAGCTCAAGAGTTGGAAGTTGCTGTGAGCTATGATGTCACAGCACTCTACCCAGGGTGACTTGAGTCTCAAAAGCAAAAAAAAATCTTGACAGAACTCATCCTCAAGGTAACCATCTCACTTCCATATGCAGTAAGAGCTACATAAGAGAAGTCTCCATTAAGGAACATAATTCTGCGATTAATCTTAATCGTAATGGTCTTTTTATAAAACTAATTATTTTAATAGTGTCATCTAGGACCTTTTGTAATTCAGACACTAATGATTTTGATGCTAACACTTCTCTGTGTAGAGAAAATGTGTAAAAATAAGTTTTGGATTCTTTTTTTCTGCAAGTGTAACAAATCCTTTTATACCTCCAGACATAGATGGGGCTCCATCCATACAAATACTTATACAGGAATCCCAAGACAAGTTATTAGAATTAAAGTAATCATGAATCAAATCCAAAATATCTTGGCCTGGTGGCACCTGTGGCTCAAAGGAGTAGGGCGCCAGCCCCATATGCCAGAGGTGGCAGGTTCAAACCCAGCCCTGGCCAAAA